GTGACTCACGCCTCGCCGCCGCGCGTTACGGCTTACGGCGCATACACACGCGCGAGCTTAGGATATACGCATGTCGAGTAGCGTACGCGCGGTTTGCGACGTGGTATAATTATTACGTAAAATATAGAGACATACACCGAGACGTTATGGTTGGGCGAATTGTTTACCTCAAAAATAACGTCAAGATGACATAGGAGTTATTAAATGTCACACTGAGAAAAAAATCTGGTTAATTAGAATTCTAGTAGATTTAACTAGTATGTCTGTTGGAAAATAGACGAATCAGAATTCTTGTAGGAATTATCAGATGAATCTGATTAATTTCTTCCTGTTAAATTTATCAAATTTTTTTTTAATAATACTAAACTCGTCAGCATCAAGTCGTCTAAAATTTTTTCCATCTAATCTCAAAAGTCTGTTTAATATTCTGAATTCCAACAAGATTATTGGATAAATTCAATCCAGATTATTGAATAAATTATTTTAAATTCAGTTTGTTAGAAATTAAACTGATAAACAGTGCACTGAGAAAAAATCTGGTTGCATTAATTAGAATTCTGGTAGATTCAATCAGTATGTCTGTTGGAAAATGAACGAATCAGAATTCTTGTAGGAATTACCAGATGAATCTGATTAATTTCTTCCTGTTAAATTTACCAAATTTTCTGATTAATAATACTAAACTCGCCAGCACCAAGTCGTCTAAAATTTTTTCCATCTAATCTCAAAAGTCTGTTTAATATTCTGAATTCCCAACAAGATTATTGGATAAATTCAATCCAGATTATTGAATAAATTATTTTAAATTCAGTTTGTTAGAAATTAAACTGATAAACAGTGCACTGAGAAAAAATCTGGTTGCATTAATTAGAATTCTGGTAGATTCAACCAGTATGTCTGTTGGAAAATGGACCAACCAGAATTCTTGTAGGAATTACCAGATGAATCTGATTAATTTCTTCCTGTTAAATTTACCAAATTTTCTGATTAATAATACTAAACTCGCCAGCACCAAGTCGTCTAAAATTTTTTCCATCTAATCTCAAAAGTCTGTTTAATATTCTGAATTCTCAACAAGATTATTGAATAAATTCAATCCAGATTATTGAATAAATTATTTTAAATTCAGTTTGTTAGAAATTAAACTGATAAACAGTGCACTGAGAAAAAATCTGGTTGCATTAATTAGAATTCTGGTAGATTCAATCAGTATGTCTGTTGGAAAATGAACGAATCAGAATTCTTGTAGGAATTACCAGATGAATCTGATTAATTTCTTCCTGTTAAATTTACCAAATTTTCTTATTAATAATACTAAACTCGTCAGCACCAAGTCGTCTAAAATTTTTTCCATCTAATCTCAAAAGTCTGTTTAATATTCTGAATTCCCAACAAGATTATTGGATAAATTCAATCCAGATTATTGAATAAATTATTTTAAATTCAGTTTGTTAGAAATTAAACTGATAAACAGTGCACTGAAAAAAAAACTGGTAATTCCTACAAGAATTCTGTTTCGTCCATTTTCCAACAGACATACTGATTCTTCGATATCTTGTGCAAGAAATTTTGTATACCGAAGCAAAATATATATTTTATAAATACGTAATTTATAATTTATAGTGTGACACATAAGGCGATTTTTTTTAATGAAATATCATTCTCTTTCGTCTCAATATATATGCGTATGTGCGTGCATGAGTGGTAAATCTGCGAAGATTGCTAATATTTGATTTCGCTCTTGCGATGCTCAAACAGGGAAAAGTATATATTTGCGCATATTTTCGAGGCAAGTAAGACGAGATGCGTAACACATGCCTTTAAGCACGCATGTTAATAAACGTTCCAGTAATATACGCATTTTGCGGCTCATAAATGGAAAAAGCACTCTGATTTCTCATTTCTGGAAACATTCACCATCTTTTTATTAGTGACGCAAGATAGTTCCGAGATCATCGCCCGCGTAATTCATCGGAATCGAGAGTAAATTTAGATACGCGTAAATAAGTGATGTAAATGCGGGTATCACTTTGAGAAATGATTATTTACGAATTTTCAAAGGAAACACATCATCATTGCCTGGCTCCGCGGGTCGCTGTCAGTTGCCTGTTGCCTGCGTCCGACAATCGCACGCAAAGAGTTCGAAATAAACCCAGCCGAGAATTTTAGGCTTCAAGTTCCTTTGACGCGATGCGAAAAGCGAAAATAGAGATAGATACGCGAAAGATATGTTTAAAGTTTCGCTACGCGTTTAAAAAAAAATACAATATGTCAAATAAGCGTATACGAATGAAAAAATAAAGCTATTAAAAATTTCTTTTATCCAAGCTTGAAAGTTACTGAATGAAAGTTTGTGAATCACCTCCAAATTTTTCTTGTGATAGAACTTGATTATTCTTATCATTATACATCATACTTATTTTAATATATTCAATTCTTTTGAAAATATCTAGTCTTAATAAAGACTTTTCTTACAACGCATAAAATACGCTCGCGCAGAGAACACATTTTAAGTTAGTCTTGACAGAGACGTAGAATTAACTGCCGCATTTGCATTTGATCGAGCTTGATATGCCATAAATCTATAAATACCAGGTCATGGTTACATTCGACACGAGGCGCCGATTATCGATACTCAAAATTCACAGAACCAGAACCAAAACAGTACTATACTAGATCTGTAAGAGCTTTATTTCGAATCGATACAGCCATTGTAAATTCATCAAATTTTCCGTTGAAAATAGATTGTTAAAGAGAACACTCCTAATTTTAGACCCATATAATAAATGCCCAAGATACATAAAAAAAATTCATAATACATAACTTATATAACTTTCAATACATAACTTTATTACTGATTATAAAATTTTCTGTTATTTGTTTTAGAACGCAACAAGGATGAATCATTTATGTATCATTATATTCCCTAATGATTTATATACCCCTAATATACGATAATGAAACAACAAAACTAAAAAAAAAATAAAAAAAAATTGTTGATAATAATTGCATGTTTCCCTTTTTTGTTTTATATTTGTAATATACAGTAAAACGCAGTAGAATATATCATATAACATACTTCATTTCTAATAAATTTTAACTTTTATATAATATCAAAGTAATAAAAAATTCAAAAAATTTAAACTTTGATATTTAAAAAATAAATATATATATATATATATATATATATATATATATATATATAACAAGTTAAAGTTTGTATATCGATATTTTTTAATTATTCATATGCATTTATCCTATATTTATATAATAATATAATCTTCAATAATATACAATTTATATCGCATTAATTTTATTGAAAAAATAATCGTGCCAGAGATTCATGCAACGATTGCTCAAGTTAACGATGATCGACAGTTATATTAATCATTCGAGGCCGAAACGCGAAGGAAGATGGACTCCGAAAGAGTACGACGCCCGTAAATGTCAACGATTTATTTTTACAACGCACATCCCGTCATATTACGACTCCGGAGATAATCGCCCTCATGTTTCTCACTTATATTCGGGGCTGTTGTTTCTTTTTCTACATAACGAGACTAATTTCCAACAAACATTGGAAGCGACGTGTCGAGGATACAGCGGCAACGATTCGTCATTGATTTTATATTCTCTGAACGCGTATATTCGTTCTTTTTCCACTTCGAGTGACATTAATTTGCGTAATAAACAATTCTGATTATAAATTCTTAGAATTTTACTTTGTCAAAGAGAATAGTAAGTATTAATGTACTAAAAAAAAGTTTTTTATAGTTCTTTCTTTAGTCATAAAATAGAATTTATATAGCATGAATTTATATGTTTCAATGTTCATTCAATTGTATTAATCGGACTTGTTTTCCTCTCGTTCGTACTTTCTGCGAAGGAATAAATATTGATACAATTTCGGGTTGAATTTTGAATATAATATATGTAATAATTTTTGCAGTATTTAAATGCACTTAACACGCATGATAAAATGATTATAATCTTAATATTAAATTGTTTATTTTCCAGAGAAATTCTAAAGAAATTGAAAAGTGGTTACGTTAGAATGTCCATAATTTTTAAATCATAACAAGGTATATTTAATATTTCTTGATATATATTAATTTAAAAATTTAAAAATTAATTCTAGAATTTTTTCAGATATCAGATGGACACAGAGAACACAGTGTATCACTTCATCCTTGTTGCCGAATGTAAACGAAGATGAAATGATTCACTGTGTTACACTGTGTCCTCTGTGTCGCTTGCTGAAAAACGCCTTTTGTTACAACATAAAAATTAAATTTTTGACATTCAACTCTTAGATTAAAATTATGTACGGGATAAAAGATGTATAATTATTTTTCCCAATTATTTCTCAATCACAATCGTCTTGGCGCAAGATCCCCATGCTATCTCCTTAGGCAGAATATAACTGTGAATCCAACTCCATGCCATAAATGCACTACGCGACGCGACACGGACCCGCCTTTCTCCTTCCAGCAAAGAGATGCTGGAAGGCGGCCTCGCCTCCGTCCTCTGAAACCCCGGGCAATTAATTCGCTATTACCGCATTGCTGGTTCGTAAGTCACGGAGGGTAATTACCGAGCGGTAATTTTACCGCTGCTGAGTTACGCTGCCGAGATAATAGATACAGTCTCCGAGGCCTAACAGTTTCAGCACGATTTCAAACCGATTTCACGATCCGATCCTCGCCAATTTTCAACTTTGTTTCCATCTACTGTTCCAGTGGATAACGAAATTATATACTCTTATGATAACGTCGGAATGCCTTATCGTTGAAGCCTTATTTCCATTTGAAACAATAATTTTGATGATTGCATATTTTGACGTTGAAGTAATACAGGTCGAATTAATTTTTACGTTTATGTGCGAAAACACGACAAATAGTTTATAAATAAATTTTTCAGCAATGCACTAAATTATATCATTAATTCCTACCTTTTGCCTTATCTTTGTTCTATTTTTATTTTATTAAAAAAAAACTTACCTCCAAATGTGTGGTGAAAATCCGGGACATATTTCTCCGCATTGTAAACAAGGCTGGCCTTCTTCTACATCTGTGATGAGAACGCCCTGAAAAAAGCAAGTAAATGTTAGTACATTATAATTTACAAGTAATAAATTATAAATAAACCTAATAATAAAATAATACATTTAATTCGAATAATCCTTTATGATTCTCTTATATCATTTCTTTTATCTTTAAATTTAACTTTCATCGATTAAGCGAGTCGAGAAATATGTAGTTGCCAAGTTCGATCACCCAAACAGAATAATTTAACAGAATAATTTAGTGTTACCTTAACATTTTTAATTTACAGGAGGCAGATTACATCAACTAGATAAAAATAAACGTGCGCAAAAATGGAGTTAGTCTCTTTCATGAAGACCAATGATAAAAATATCAAAAATAATAATAATGAATATTGTGAAAATTATTTTCAGTATAAATCAAGGTACAATCAATTAATCAATTATTTCAATAATACACTTAAAACATGGAGGAAAAAAAGAAAAAAATCTTTCAGGACTGTTTAGAGTGTATATTTCTCTCTCTCTCATTGTTTTTCAAATTATTAAGAGCTAAAGCAATCATGCTAATATCTAATTGCGAAGAAAAATATTGGTACGGCAAATATTGAGTGTCAAAAGCGAGATATTAACACTTCAGTAATGTAATTCGTGAGTCTTTCTTCCTCGTGGCAAAGAGGAACAATGAATAAGTACATTGTCGTTTCGTACATATTTATGTGCGAACGGGGACAAGGTCCCGATGAAACGATGAGCCACGTGTAATTGGGAAAAATTTTTAATTGCGCGAGCCTTGTTATGTCACGACACATCGCGATATTTATCTCGTTCGTAAACGATAAACCGCTAATGAGCACACGCTAATAATAGTCCATAATAATCGCCCTGTCCATATGTCGACGAATCTGACACACATTAGCTGTAATTGAATAAACTAATCGAATATGTGTTCAAAAGTAATATTTATAGAAAATCTCAATATATGATATATATACATAAGCATATATATGTATATATGTGTTATATAATTCTCTTTATTGATATAATCAAATAAAAAAAAATGTTCTTCCTCTCTTTTCATTTTATTTACTAATTTTGATAGTTTAAGGTCTTTAGAATTTTATCATTAATTTACAGAAAATGGCTCTTCCTTAGGAATAAAGTAAGTTTAAAGAGAAAAAGACTTGAAGAATATTAAAAAAAAATAGATAGTTTTTCTCTCTTTTATATATTGAGGCTGCAATACATCCGGATATATCTGGAAAAACGTCAAACATAAAATGTTGCTTAGACTGTAAATTATGGAAGGAAAAGCTAAGCACATTTATTTTTACATTAGATAAATTGATGAGCAAATAGGTATCACATTAAATCATCGAGCTCCTTACTTCCGTCCTCTCTCTTGTCTACCATTCAATTGCTTCTAGTATAGCTATTATCTCGTATTACTATCTTCCTTCAGGAAACAATAATACATCAATTTCTCTGCTCTGGAAGAACCGAGATTATCCACGCAATATAAATGGACACTTTGCTACGCGTTAATGACCGGTTGCATTTTTTAAAAAGCGTTTCATGTATTTTTGATGGCGTGTTTATTTCTCCGGCTTATGTCGGTGATCACCGGAAATCAAGTTGACGCGGAGCCATAAGTTTTTTGGAAAAGAATACACTTCACCAAGTCATTTAAACTTTGTATAAAATACTCATAAATGTATTATGAGCACTTTGTATTAATATGTATTAATTTATAGAAAATACAATTTGCGCATATAGAATGAAACTATCAGCGAAAAATTGTTACAATATGTAATCGTAAATATTTTCAAAGTGAAAGCGACGAAAGACAAGTCGAACAATTTTTACATGCTTAAAATTATAATTATTAAATAAATCACTGAAATATATACAGAATACATATACTTTATACATATAAAAAAGAAGAAATTCTTCTTCCCTTTTTTTCTTTCTTTCTCTCAAATAAATGAGCAAATAGAATATCGATATCGATATTATGTCATAAAGCAATAATTAGATTTTTATACGAATTTTGATTTCTTTAAAGAAAAAATATTAAATTAATTATAAAAGATTTGTAAAGATATTTACATGTATCATATATGCCATTATTATAAATCAATGTTTCTCGCATAATTATTATTTATTTGTAAAAGATATTAATTAAATTTGATTTTCCCAGTATATCCCATAGTGATCTACAGTAATGATCTAGTAGTCGATCTTTCTTTAATCAATCCACAGTTGTACATATTTCTCGGAGAAATTGTTTCTCACAGAGACTTTAGGGTTTTTTTATTTTAAATTTATAATTTAAAATTTAAATATAATTAAATATAATTTAAATATATTTAATATTTAAATATAATATTTAAATATAATTTAAAATTTAAATTATAAATTTAAAATAAAAAACTCCAAAGTCTCTATGAGAAACAATTTTTCTGAAGTATATACAACTGTGGATTGATCAAAGAAAGATCGATCCACAAGACTGTAGATCACTACTATTAAAAGAACCGCCATGTGTCTGAATACTGTTCGCGCCAGCTGGGTCTACGAACGATCCCAGTCTCTCGGTCCACAGTCACCGGTTTATCCACACGCGGAGAGGAGAAAAGGAAGTTGCCGCGCTAAATAGGAAGAAAGCTCGAGGCGCGTTGGATGCGTTCAAGAACCTTTCGGCCGACATATATGGTCGGTCCGCCCACATGGTCCCCTCGTTGCCGGCATCATCGCCAAATATCGAATAGACGCGCGTTGAAAAATGTGCCGATCACCGCCAATCTGTCTCTAGATCTGCCTATATATAGCAATCCCAAATAACGATGTCCGCAGCTGCGCGCATAAGCTTCGATGTTTAATTAACATATTTTTCCCCCTGACTCACCTCGCGGTGAAGGGTCTCTTTTCCTCGCGATGTCAAGGCGGATCGCAAAACGCGCGACAATATAAAGATAAAAAAACGAATACTTAATTACTTCGAGTTTATACAAGAAAGACTTCGATGTCAAGTATGTTAGTTTGAAGATTGCTTTATTCAAATCACTTTGAAATGCAAGCGATATATGAACAGTGATTGAAACTATTTCGAACTATTCTAATTAATATAATTATATGTTGAAAATTTCGAAAATTATAACTTTATTTTATGTTTCATGTTTAATTCTGATTAATTATTTTTCTGCGCATTAAAAGATTCTTTCATCCAATTTATGCGCAAAGGCAACTTTTGAAATGATGAAATGATACTTTTGATTACAAGTGTTGCTCAAGAAGATATTTGTTAGAATTAACGTACCGCAGATGTCATGAGAAATTATTCTAATCATTTACGGTCGGAGATGAATGATGCAGATTTATAGCGAGAATGCAGTTTGGCGATTCTGGTTTGATTCAACTGTAGCTATAGTTTTCGTTTGATCACTATTTTAATGGATCGCAACCGCCGTTAAGACGCCGGCATGTTCGCATTTAGCATTTGAAATTTTACACCGATCAAATGATTGTATTAATCTTCGTCTTTAACAGAATATAAAAAAAGATAAATATAAAAAAGAGATGTGTGAAACTAATTTTTGCTATGTTCTAAAAATAATACATCCTACTTAGATTTAATATTAATTAATTTAATATCCGGAAGATTTTAAATTTAAAACTCAAGAATATATGCAGCTAAAACAGTTATATATTTCTTCTCCGCAAATATATATATTTTCAATAAATTATTAATATCTATAAATTCATAAATTCATGACACTTTTTAGATTAATTAGAACGGATCGCAAAACAATTATGTTTTCCCTATTAACGATCCAATCACTCGATTATCCCGCGGACAAAGACCGCGTTTTTAACGCGGAGATTCGTTTAAGGAGAGATGTTATCCATAACGACGTGTCCTACGCGCGATACTGGCCATTCAGCTCGTAGGCGGTTCGCTGACATTTGCATGACGCGTTAGCCAATAGACAAGGCGATTGCGAAAGTCCGTTGAAAACCTGTGCACGCGGCAAGCCCGATGACAAATTGATAAGTACTGCCCGTTTGGAAATTCGTTCGATTTTCTTCGAAACGAAATCGAATTACATAATCGAATCGGCTACTTCCTCAATTATAGCTGAATTTTAATATATCTCTGTCAATTATTTATGAAATATTTAATTCTTCTTTTCTATAGAGAGAAAAAGAGAGAGACAGAAAGAAAGAATGCAAAAATAAATATTAGGAAAAAATATAGGAATTTTGAATAAATAATAAATTCTTAATTTTCTTTATCATCAGTCACAATATGAGAAAAACTTGTTCCTTACTCTTCAAATCTTAATGATTTTGATTTATGTCCTTTGCAAATTATATCCTCGATAATAATTGATTTTTATTTTTGTCAAATTACAGATATATTTACTTGATAATGCAATAATAGTATAATGCGAGAATTTTTATGAAATTTTACGATTAAAGTCCTAACGAGTTATTACGTCACTGCCATTTAAAAGATTAGCAACAGTGGTGGTTGGGCTACCGGTATTTAGCTTTCACTTAATCGGATTGAACCGCGGTGAAGCATAATTTGTGCTCTCCGTGGACGTAAATAGGCGTGGATGATAAATGAAGATTATAAATTGCTTGTTCTGGATGAGTCCAAAATGATTACGAAGTTTGTTAAGAAACTTGAACGCCATTCGAACAGCAATAAAGTTGCATTCAGTCTATTCTATTCAATCTATCTTGTGTAATCTTGGAAGAAGATCATTGCTTACAAATCATGACACATGACACATGTTTACAATTTACAAAACAAATAAAAATCAATCTTAAAATGACGTTAATGTAAAAGTTAATAAAAAATAAAATAAAAGCGAATTGATAACGCCTGCAGAAACAGATAAAAATTAAAATATAAACGAAAAATAAAATATAAAATAACATTAATATAATATATTGTATTTTATATTATAATTATAGAATTTATAAATTATATATTTCTTAAATAATTTTACGTTATACAGAAAAGTGCAATGTGAAGTCATATCGCGTTGCTAGGGTTGGAGAATAAAATTGAAGAGATCTGATTTAGGAGAATTTTAATAAAATTCTGCTGTATACAATTTGCTGTTGCGTTTATATTCACGCAAATTACGAAACTTATCATCTCCAATCAAAGCCACTTAATTTTAAGGTATCGCGTTCTCTCGACCGTAAAACGGCCATCGTCAGATTCCAGGCAAATTGCAATTTTAGTGTACGAGGCCGTGCAATATTACGCAAAGCTTCCATGGCGACTGGATCGCTCGTACTCGATCGAGAGGTAACAATATTGATCCTCGCGAAAAATCTCGTCGATAAATAAGCGAACGGAATGCGACACGCAACACTGCAATCAAATCAGTTCAATGGGTGTTTTATTGCTTAAATGATATTGCACAAACAACTGAATATTTTCTCCTCGAAAAGATCGCTACTAGTTTCAATGATCATCAAAATAACTACTGAATTTTACGCTTATTTCTGTAACAATCAAAATAACTAAAATAAGTAAAATAACAAAATAATTGAAATACTCTATCTATATTTTTTTTAAATGGGGAGATTATAATTTTAAATCATAATATATAGTTTATAAACAAATGCCTTTTTTTCTTTTTTACTCTAACACTTGCACGCTTAAAGTTTTATATATAATATCAAACCAATATTAAATGCTATCATAATTATGCTTATTAGCTATTAAGACTAATATATGTAATATTAAGTAATTTTTTCATACTCTATTTATTTAAAATAATGATTAATTATATTTAAGATAATGATTATTACCTCAATATTTTTGAATCTATCCTGTATTCTCACATCTCTTAAATATGAAATCATACTAAATATATAAGATTTTATTAAAACTGATTGCCTATTCCGTTTCCAATACTTTTATGTGTATATCAAAATATATCTATATTTTATTTCTCGGTTGTAAATTATAAAAAAATTAATTGTAATTATTAATTGTAATTTCATAATTTTGATATTTTTCGTTATACGTTTCAAACATTCATGTCATTCTTTAAGGATGTTTTGTATGTGTGTACAATCCCAGCAAAAAGTAGCTGAAAATCAATATTGACGAATATATCCACTTTTGATGTATTTTGAGTATGAGAAATTGTGTGAAATATTACAATTTGATCTTAGCTACAGTGCAAAGATGTATTTTTTAATATTTATTGCGTTTTTACTGAAATATTCCGAATTTTGTTAATCGAAATGATTAACTTTTAGCAGAGAATTTCGCCTTGTGACAGATACGTGGCTAACTTGATTGAATTATATTTAATATCTTTTTAACCAGTTAGTACTTGTATAATATTATTTCACCAAAAATTTCCTATGTATCTAAACTTTTGCAAATTTTAAGCAAATTCTGAATATTATTTCCATGCGTTTTTGTCATTTGAATCGACGTGGTTGTACGTTTCCCATAAGAACACAGATTAATTCGGTGCAAATTAAAATCCTTACAACTTGTGAACGCTTTAGTGAATCGATTTAAAAATTGTACCGAAGATTCTAAACATATGTAAGGACATTCTGTACAATTTTTATTAAATTCTCAATATTTTGAGAATAGATACAAAACATTCTTAATCGAAATGATTAACTTTTAGCAGAGAATTTCGCCTTGTAACAGATACATGGCTAATTTCATTGAATTATATTTAATATCTTTTTAACCAGTTAGTACTTGTATAATATTATTTAATCAAATATTTCCTCTGTATCTAAAATTTTAAACAAATTCTGAATATTATTTCCATGTGTTTTTGTCATTTGACTCGACGTGGTTATACGTTTCCCATAAGAACACAGATTAATTCGGTGCAAATTAAAATCCTTATAACTTGTGAACGCTTTAGTGAATCGATTTAAAAATTGTACCGAAGATTCTAAACATATGTAAGGACATTCTGTACAATTTTCATTAAATTCTCAATATTTTGAAAATAGGTAAACATCCTTAACCGATTAATCATTGATGCATTTCTCGTATAAGATAGAGGCAAATCGAGAATTATGACTCTCGTAGCGACCACACACGCGACACAATTTATATCTTCACACAAACTTAAATTCGCTCGAATGGAATATCAAGAACGACGGAAAATGGACGGCAAATCGCCTTGACTATCGCTTCGATTGTTCCTGAGGCGAAGTTTGAAAGCATAAGAGATCCGAATTCTGTTACTTTCACAGGAATTATCCTCTACAATAAATGCTGTTTGCGTCGTTTTCAATTCAACCACTGTCATCTATCTTTCTCTTTCTCTTTCTCTCTCTCTTTCTCATCTCCTCCAGCGATTTATGAAAATTGCCTCGCGCCTTTGAACCATAAAGGACCGATCGAACGCAACTGACTCATGAAAGTGCCATACCCCTTCACGATAATTCCAGATCGTTCTCGAGGGTGTTGTGCTGCTAGCGTCGCCGTCATCTCTCCCCGGTAAGATTCCGCCGTCCCTTCGGCTCCTTCGCCAACGATTCTCCTCCTCTTCGTCCTCGTCGCTGTCCTCGTCATCGTATCTTCTACGTCTCGCCACGCATACCTCCTGGACGGGACGACGCCGACGGCGAACCCTTTCCACTGCCTCGCCAGGATCCTCCGACGATCGGATCCTGATAATCGTGGTGCCATTACGGTCGCGAGACGAGGAAACTTGATGGGATCCGTCGTCGCCCGAATCGATTTTGTCGCGAATCTCGAGACAATCCTCCTCGGGATCGTTTACGGATGCCTCGATCGCGTTGGCCCTCATATTCTGCAAATTCGAAAATCCTCGCTCGGGCGAGATGTCGGCGTCGAGCCGTCCTTCTGGGGTGCTCCGTAGCTTACTGTGATTTCGTAGATATCTGGCGGAAAACATCCGGTTGCTCTCGTGCCAGGATTTGGGAGAAAAATGTTTTAATTCCTTGCCTTCCTCCGGATCGTCCTTTTTTGCCGGTGTCAACGGTTTCGAATATCTGTCCGATTTTCTCTCGAGCGCCTCGCGACTTTTATTTTTTAAGGACGCGCGTCTCTTCGAGGAAGCGTCGCGTTCCTTGAAGGAATTCGTTCGAACGACCGCTTCATTATCTTCGTCCTTAGAACAAGAATTCGAAGCGCGTAACTTATCGTCTTGCGTTTGGAAGGATACCTTGCCGAACTCGATATAACGATCATTTGCGGTTTTCCTATCGATATTATTCTCGTAACCGTGATAAGATGCTTGCTCAAGTTTCCCAGCGTCATCCTTGAAACTGTGTTTCTTCCTCTCTGAGTCATTCTCGCATTCTCGATCTTTATAAGAAATCTTGCCAAACTCGACGCTCTTTTCCTTATATACGTTTTTCCTCTCAGAATCCTCGCTTGTATTTTTAAACGAGTTGTTCCTGTTCGAGTCATCGTCAAAGTTCCTCAGGATAATCCTACTGACACCGCTTATGTGTTCTTTGGGAGAGATTTTTCTCTCTGTATTATCGTGCTGATTTTTTAAAAAAGTCTTGTCAAGCTCCTGTACTTTGTAGATATCTTTCTTACTTGTATCCATATTTTTGTCCTTAAAGGAATTTTTGTGAGATAAATCTTCTTGATCCTTGCCGAAATATCTGACAGAAGTGTCATGTTGATTATGCGAAACATGATTCTTGTATATATCGTTATCCTGATCCTTGAACGATGTCTTTCTAATTAAGCTAGACTCGCCGCATTCCTTGCTGATCGCCCTCCTGGATTCCGTTTTAAAAGAATTCTTCTTAACTACCGGTTCCCGATCGAATTCTTTTAAAGATTCCTTCCTAATTAGATGCGATTCCCTGGGCGAATTTCGTCTGGGGGAACTTCTGTCCAGGTCCCTTCTTGGCTCAAGGAGAGCTCGATCGTATTTCTGTATTCTTACATCAAAATCCTCCGGCGAACCCTCGTAAGTGTAACTCCTCCTCTTCGAACTGTCTCTCGATCGGGCCTCCTCGTCTTCTTTCAATTTCCTACGATAATTTTTGTCGGTGTTATAAGTATCACTTCTTTTTCGAAAAGTGTCGTCTCCTCGAGGCTCGCGATCTTCGTTCTGCCCCTCGGTGCTCTTCGATCTTCGATCAGTCGATCGATCGCGTCGGCCCGAATCCTCCTCTCGATCGGACTTTCCGTGTAGCTTATACTCGCTCGATCTGCGTTCGTCTTCGCGATCATCCTTCAGCTTCCTATTTCGATCGTTGGACCGATTATCGAGCGAATGATCGATGATCGGCGATCGCAGATCATTCCTGTTGCCGCTTTTGGCTCTATCGTACGCTTCCTTGTCAGGACTTACTTCGGATCTCTGCTCTCTTCGGGACCGTAATTTGTTCTCCTCTCGCGATTTCAATCGCTCGATCATCGCCTGGATCCTACGATCTGGCGATTGGCTGCCATCAGTGGCTAAACTCTCGATCTCCTTAAGCAGGATATCCCTCTCGTCGACGGGCTGCGTGGTGTCATTATTGCTATCGTTGTTTCTGCTAATCCTGCTCGTCTTCTCTCGATTCTTCGACTCTACACTTTCCTCCCGGTATTCTTTCCTTCTCGATCTATGAGAGCCGTTCAGCGCTCGTTCGGATTCGCCTCTCTGTCGATTCTCCCTTGGCAAGGATCCTACATACCCTTCGTCCCGGTACTCCAAACGATCTTGAGTTTTATCCAAGAATTTCGCACTCACGGGTTCCGAACTGTCTCTTCGAAACTTTCCATTCGTCAGTTGTGTATCCTCGAGATCCTGTCTCCTCGATCTTCTCGTGTCATCCTTGATGCTCCAGGATCCAAAGTGTTCCTTGCTCTTTTTGTACAACAAGTCGACGTTGCTGTCTACCACCTCTTCGCGTCCGTTTCGCTCCGGCTTGCTATCGTGCTGTTTCGACATGCCAAAGTGATAACGATTGCCGCGCCCGTCATTCTTGTGCGATCGGCCGAAGTGCGCTTCCGGTTCGTTTTGATGGAAATGGTCCTTGGCGAGCGAGGCAGTCCTTGGCGTGTCCTTCATCGCCGAAGGACCGCGCAGGCGGGACGTCATCTTTGCGAGGAACGGAATTTTGAAGACCAAAATTCTTGTATCTCGCGATGTATCGCTTGTAAATATATATATATATATATATATATATATATATATATGTATGCGCAACAATCGACGTGAGCGAATAAAGTGTATATAAAAGTGTGTATAAAACTTTGCGTAAGAATAGTTTGTCTTTGTTGCAAAAAATTTATATAAAATTCAATTCCTTCTTCTTTTTGATAGCGTTGCTTCCTCCCGTCATGCGATATCTTCAGGCTTGAAAAGAGGAACGTAGAAGAGCTGAGACACGCATGGTTAAGTGTACGAGCACCAACCTATTATTATTCGCATATGTCGAACCAGCCCAACGGCTACCGTCGATCTCGATCGATCCTCGATCCTCCGTCATCCACCGTGCGTATGTATTTGTAACTCGCGATCGTCGTCAGTACACGAGCACTGAAACTGCTTAAATTTCACTGGGACTTTTTAAGAAATTAACACTGGAAAAGCATCTAGATCAATTGAGAGAATATCTAAAATATTGCATAATTTTTAAGTATATCTTTCCACCAAAAATCTCATACACAGACAGGAAGCTTTGTTCAACGGGAAAAAATGGACAAATGTTCTATCGCAACAAATACATTTTAATAGATTTAAGTTTAAAAATGAATCACTGATTTTTTTCCTGGCTAACAAAATGATCAACTGTATCGATTAATTGCATAGATCCTTCGAAGGTCTAAAAAGCAATCCGCTTTCTCATCCGAATGGAAGCGATTTATTTGCAGATTTTTGCGGTTTCTCTCAACGATCAATTCGATATTTTTTCGGGTCACTGTAATCAGAGCGTCACATCAGGATGAATAAACACAATATGGATGGTAATCGTAACTGGATGCTCAACGGAATCCTTACTGTCTCGTCACGCAAAGACACAATTTCCGTCTCACGATTATCTCGTAACGTTTTCTAATCTTCTATCTTTCTCTCTTTTCCTTTTTAGCGCTTCTTCGAGGAGGAAGTGAAGGATGATCGCGGATCCTCACGTCTCGCCGAAACTCGTAGGAGTGCGAGAAGAACGTCGGCCACCTCTTTTCTCGAGGTGGCTCCTTCTCGGCGAGAAGCCAGCCGGCTTCGGGACAGAAACGACGACGACGACGACGAGCGCGCGGAGCAGACGACCCTGAAAGTCGTCTGTGGACTTTCACGAACGCGAGCACTTTGCCGGTCGGAGTCACCACGAGAGTGTGCACCAGAGGAGAGAGCGTGTTCCTCCCGCTCTCTCGCCCCTATCCCGCCGGTATCCCCCTCGCTTCCTGCCATCCGCGAGCTGTCCCCTTCCTCCGATGTACCTCTCTCCACCTCCCCCCCTTTCCGCGTGTTGTCCCCCCCCCCTTTTCGTCCTCTTTCGTGCCGTCACCGATTCCTTCGCCTTCTATTCACGGTCCTGCGGTCCTCCCTGAGGTGAGGCAGGTATGATTCTCCATTTTCCCATTAATCCGGTGCTTTAGACAGCCACGAGATGTCAAGTACGTAAGCTTGACCTCGTGAACCTTGTGAGTTGCTCGATGAAGCTTGGATATTGAGATCTCGCGATTTAAAGAACTCGTGTCGTTGAAAAAAATCTTTGCTAATTTAAGAAAAGCTCTTATTAGTTTGGGAGAAATTTTAAAATAAATATAACGTGATAAATTGTGTAAAGACACACGCAAAGAGTGTATATTAATTTAGACGAATTTGTTTTGCAGGACATTAGAACAAATACATACAAGGATATTTTTGTTCGACGATGACAGATAGTATGGGAAATAAATGACGATACATTTTTTTTATGACGGCAAAACGAGAGCGGAAGCATCGTCTTTCACTTTCGAAATGTAATCGAGCGTTCGCGCGGAAATTAATGACACACTTTGAAAGGAGAGCTAAATTCGAAAATCTAGAAAAAAGATACAACAAAAATTTTCTCTTTATACCATGAAATTCTACAAGTTTGAAATTGTCCGGATTACATCTCTCTTGAAACTTTCCATTTAGATTCTCGTTTGCGGCGATTAAGGATGTTTTGTATGTACAATCCCAGCAAAAAGTAGCTGCAAATTAATATTGACGAATATATCCATTTTTGGTGTATTTTGAGTATGAAAAATTGTGTGGAATATTACATATTTGATCTCAGCTACAGTGCAAAGATGTATTTTTTAATATTTATTGCGTTTTTACTGAAATATTCCAAATTTTGTTAATCGAAATGATTAACTTTTGACAGAGAATTTCGCCTTGTGACAGATATATGGCTAACTTGATTGAATTATATTTAATATCTTTTTAACCAGTTAGTACTTGTATAATATTATTTGACCAAATATTTCCTCTGTATTTAAACTTTTGCAAATTTTCAACAAATTCTGAATATTATTTCCATGTGTTTTTGTCATTTGAATCGACATGGTTATACGTTTCCCATAAGAACACACGTTAATTCGGTGCAAATTAAAATCCTTATAACTTGTGAACGCTTTAGTGAATCGATTTAAAAATTGTACTGAAGATTCTGAACATATGTAAGGACATTCTGTACAATTTTCATTAAATTCTCAATATTTTGAAAATAGATACAAAACATCCTTAATTGAAATGCTTAACCTTTGGCAGAGAATTTCGCCTTGTGACAGATACATGGCTAACTTGATTGAATTATATTTAATATCTTTTTAATCAGTTAGTACTTGTATAATATTATTTGACCAAATATTTTCTCCGTACCTAAACTTTTGCAAATTTTCAACAAATTCTGAATATTATTTCCATGTGTTTTTGTCATTTGAATCGACATGGTTATACGTTTCCCATAAGAACACACGTTAATTCGGTGCAAATTAAAATCCTTATAACTTGTGAACGCTTTAGTAAATCGATTTAAAAATTGTACTGAAGATTCTGAACATATGTAAGGACATTCTGTACAATTTTCATTAATTCTCAATATTTTGAAAATAGGTACAAATATCCTTAATCGAAATGATTAACTTTTGGCAGAGAATTTCGCCTTCTGATTTCGCCTCTGACAGATACATGGCTAACTTGATTGAATTATATTTAATATCTTTTTAACCAGTTAGTACTTGTATAATATTATTTGACCAAATATTTCCTCTGTATGTAAACTTTTGCAAATTTTCAACAAATTCTGAATATTATTTCCATGTGTTTTTGTCATTTGAATCGACATGGTTATATGTTTCCCATAAGAACACACGTTAATTCGGTGCAAATTAAAATCCTTATAACTTGTGAACGCTTTAGTAAATCGATTTAAAAATTGTACTGAAGATTCTGAACATATGTAAGGACATTCTGTACAATTTTCATTAATTCTCAATATTTTGAAAATACGTACAAAACATCCTTAATATTAAGATAAAAAACAAATTTCTAGGAATTAGTCGAAGTTTAGCAAAAATTCCTAGAAATTAAATAAAGAAAATTCATAAATTTCTAGAAATTGACACGATATGACTTCAGTAACAAATCAAGTGTCTTAACATTTGAGCGTGTCGTAAAATGATTCTTTTCATGCGTTCTGCGCGTTAGAAACGCAGCTCGTGCATAAAACTCGGAATATTCAGGCGGAGGCGGATATTCGCGGATATTCTTGCAAAAACTTCGGGAATGTCGTCGGCGCTAAAGACGCCGCTCTCGGCCGTGGTCCGCAGCTTAATGAGACCTTAGCAATCCCTTAATGGGTCTGGTTGAATAAAAAAAGACTAATATCCTGCGAGAACGTTACTTAGCGCGTGTTTATGTTCGCGCCGAGAAAAGTCAGGCGACAAAATCGCTGACGGAGAGAAAATCGGAAAGGAGGATAAACCTAAGAGGAAAGAAGATGCACTCTGAGAAACCGTATGATATGGTTTACCTCGTATATAAAATTGTTTTCCTCTTATCTCGCTGAAAGTTACGAGAGATTCGATGAAATTGCATGCTGGCACGGATCGCCAGAAATGGAAAGTTGAAGCTACCACCGATCATCGGCAGGGCCGTTTTAAAAAGAGGACTCTTCGGTGCTCGGTGTTTTTTATATAAAATTATATGTATAAAGTGTATATATATATATATATATATATATATATAAATATATAATATGTATAAAGTATATATACAGGGTGTCAATTAAGTCCCGGGACGGCTGAATATTTTCTCATGTAAGGTATTTTTGAAAAAGGTCAAGGTCATTTCTGAAGTAATTTTCAACGAGGAATTCAACGGTGACCTTCAATTTGACCTTGAGCTTGACCTTCAAGGTTATTTGAAGGTCAAAGTGTTTTTTTTAAATAGGAACCCCTATTTTTGATTGTATATTCTTATAGCTGACCTCGAGAGCTTTCCAAAACACTATAATAAAATATTTTTCCTTCAAGCATTTATCGAGTTATGATGCTTCAAATCATTTCTTAATTTTACATAAATCGTAAAATATCTTGTAAAATATTCACTTTTCGATTATTTTACCTTAATACTTTTATGTACAAAATAATGAGAGGAATCAATTGGCGTAAAGAAAACATATAGTTGTTTTTAAAAAAAAATATGGAATTGTTAATTGCAAATTACATATTTTTTCTTAAAAACAACTATATGTTTTCTTTACGCCAATTGATTCCTCTCATTATTTTGTACATAAAAGTATTAAGGTAAAATAATCGAAAAGTGAATATTTTACAAGATATTTTACGGTTTATGTAAAATTAAGAAATGATTTGAAGCATCATAACTCGATAAATGCTTGAGGGAAAAATATTTTATTATAGTGTTTTGGAAAGCTCTCGAGGTCAGCTATAAGAATATACAATCAAAAATAGGGGTTCCTATTTAAAAAAAAACACTTTGACCTTCAAATAACCTTGAAGGTCAAGCTCAAGGTCAAATTGAAGGTCACCGTTGAATTCCTCGTTGAAAATTACTTCAGAAATGACCTTGACCTTTTTCAAAAATACCTTACATGAGAAAATATTCAGCCGTCCCGG